GGAGGCAAGGAGGGGTACCTGCACACCCCCGACGGCACGACGTTACCAGTAGTACCAGTTACGACCTAACCAGTAGAGGCGAGGAGGGGTAACTCCACGTTCCCCTACTTGCAGCGTTACAGTGGTAGCAGAGGAGGCTGACTCCACGCCCCCCTGCACCACGGCATTACAGCGGCGGCAGCGGGAAGGATACCTCCATTCCCCCCTGCGCCGCTAGGGCATTACACCATATTTCTTAAAATATTAATTTTATTAAGATGAATGTATATACACATAGAGTAATTTTTTTTCGCTTAGTTGGGGATGGAGTCCAACTGGGTCCACTCGGCACGGCGGCCACTGATTGGCATATTGTAGCCTGCCCCTGGTGGTTATGATGATGGAGAATTTGATGGAATGAAGATTGGCAGAGGAAACAGAAGTACTCAGAGAAAACCTGCCCCAACGCCACTTTGTCCACCACAAATCCCACTTGACCAGACCCGGGATCGAACCCGGGCCGCCTCGATGGGAAGCCAGCGACTAACCGCCTGAGCTATGGCGCGGCCTTACACATACAGTATTGTATATGTACATTTTTTTGTTGCCGCATAACGGTTGACATGAATACGCTAATGGAATTGCTGTCTTAGGCAGCGTGTACACGAGCGCACAAAATGCGTCCGTTGTAACGAACGTCGTGACGTCCATTGTAGAAATAAACAAGAGAGGCGAATGCTACGCTTTCTTCTGGCTCCATTGCAGACAAAAACTACGCACCGCATTCTGCAACTGTGTGGTGTCCTCAGCAACGTCCGTCATAAAGTACGTTCGTTACAACGGACGCATTTATGCGCTCGTGTAGACGCTGCATAAGTGATACAAGTTACCTTGTCCTGCCTTCTATTTGTGTGCCCGTTGTTGGTTTGCAATTAGCCTCGGGTTCTGGAGTAAGCACGGAAATAAATAATGACTTGAGATGAGTTCTTTCAGCCTGCCTGAACAACTGCTTTAAACATTTGCGCTTATTGCAATAAACAATTAAATTGGATGATAACACGCCATTTACCGTGAACCGTAAACTTTCACAGTGATGTTACGATATTCTCCTAGCAATTGTCTCGCTCCAGAGGGACTTCCCCTACACTGTTGTCGCTAAGTACCTAAATGGTCGGACAGATACGCCGATACTGCTCTGCTTTCCTGTGCAGGTTTCTTTGCGGCGATGGGGAAAGCTGGAGGAGGGAGGAATGAATTGGACCCGCGTTTTGTTTCCACGTTCTGCAGCTTTAATCTAACCTCCTCATCTGACGACGCTGTCAAGCACATCTACAGGTCCATCCTGATTGGTCACACTGAAGGCTTCATAGAAGATATACGTGCAGTCGTGCCCATTGTTGTTGAAATTACACTCGGCTTATACAAGGTGAGGCGCAGCATTTTAAGTGAGTTGCTACTGTTCCCTTAAATACGCCTATTGTGTCAGCAATCAGATGGTGATGAATGATAATATATTAGAGTGTTATGTTGGTGAAACGATGCCCGAAGGGAGAGAACGGAAGAACTGGAACATAAGCCAGGCCCGGTGCCACTTTTTACCATCACAAATCCTACATGGACTGTTCTGGGATTGCACCCGGCGACTCAGCGCATTTCTCATCTCGTCTCAATTCCTCCTAGTAGATAAAGGGTGAAGGTAAAGCTATCCTTGTAATAGGCCGTGAAGGCCCATAGGATTGTGAGACCTCGAGGCTCCCACATTTTCTCTAGAGAGTCGTCTCACAGATGGCGTTGAGGTTGTCAGCCTTAAGCGCCGGCCACTCTTTACACCTCAGGAAAATTCCGGGTACTCATTTTTGTTACAGGCTGAGTCGACCCTGGGGCAATAGTGCGGCTGGAAGGACCAGGTCAACTGAAAAATCCACCTCATCGGGACTCGAAACTGCGATCTTCCGGCTTGTAGCATAGTGCCTCAACCAACCGCGTGCCACCTTCCTAGTAGAAACTAAGTTTAATCCGGTAGTCAACTCCTACTGTTACTATTCTACTATTCTTCGTGACTAGAAGATGCTTTTGACATTTTCAGGCTGTGATGACCCAACTCCCTCCGACGCCGTCAAGGTTTCATTACATCTTTAGTCTCCGAGATTTATCCCGGATATGCGCAGGCATGCTTCTTACAACCTCGGAGTACATGAAGTCCATGGGCCTTTTCGTCAGAGCGTGGAGAAATGAATTCACCAGGGTAATCTGCGACCGACTTATCAGCGTGGAGGTAGGTGCTCTCTTACTAAGTTATGGGGACTGTGGTCCGCATGAAGGGGGCGGAAAATAAAGGTACTGGGGGATGCTGGATTGTGCGCCGACAGTGGAGGAAGGGGGGTACTAATGAAGTTGTAATCTGCATTAGAACAATACATTAATTAATATATGTTATTTCTGTAATATTATGGAGGAATTTTAGCCTAAGTTCATTAATTCTAAGTAAATATACCCCTTACGGCGAAACTATGCCAGTATACTGCATACGTGGTATGTTCTCCCTAACAGCTTTTGAACAAATTGAAAAGTTTTTATGAAACACGGTAAGAAAGTCGTGTTACTAGAAGCTACTCCACTTTTGTATTTTTTAGATTTACTACGGTCAATAATGGGGACACGTGGTTGAGGCATTATGTTACAAGCCTGAAGGTCGCGGGTTCGAGTCCCGAGGAAGTAGAATTTTTTCCTTACCTAATCCTTCCAGCTGCACTATAGCCCTGGGGTTGACTCAGCCTCTAACAGAAATGAGTACCAGGAATATTCTTGGGATCTTCCTGGGGGTAAAGGGCGGCCGGCGTGGAAGGCTGACAACCTTACCGCCATCTGTGAGCCGATTGTCTAGAGAAAATGTGGGAGCCTCAACTTCTCACAATCATATGGGACTTCACGGCCTCTCACAGGGAGAGGTTTACGAGGCTTGGAACTTTAATAGTGGCAACACTGCTGTAGAGACGCCATGTAAAGGTATCAAATAACGTCCCTTATACTACACGTTAGTTACATACCCATCTTACCTCAGACCAAATGGACTCTCCTTCCCACATCACGCGCATGCACAATGACGAGAAGAACAGAGCCTCGTGTTAGCTGGCGGTCTAATGTAGGGTTGTCACGATGTTTTCGAAACAGGATCAACGGAGTTGGATAAAGATTGAATGTGCCAGAGGCCGTACAGCACGACAGTGTCATCAAGGTCTTCAAGAGGCTTGCGGGGAATCTGCATTGCCTTACAGAACAGTGGCAAGGTGGGTAAAAGCCTTCAACGAGGGATGCCAAAATGTGGCAGACGTGCGTCGGCCAGGACTTCCTAGTGTCAGTGAGGAAGAAGTGTACGTATGCTCTTTCCGCGTTACTGGAGAGTGATCGACGCCATACGATTCGTGAGCTGGCCCGAGAGACAGGATTAGCGCATACGTCTGTGCTTCACATTCTGAAGGAACGCCTGGGCATGAGAAAAATTGCACCGCGATGGGTTCCGCATGATTTGACGGAAATGCAGAAATGGCTACGATACGACGCTGCTCGTAACCACTTGAAGCGCTATGAGCGTGAAGGAGAGGCTTTCTTACGCCGTATCATTACGCTGGATGAGACATGGGCCAAATCGTACGAGCCACAAATGAAACGCCAATCGAACGAATGGCGTCATCACGGGTCACCACGAGAATCAAAAGTTCGTCAGAACCCCAGAAATGTGGAAGTTATGGTGATTCTCGTGTACGACTGTGATGGTGTTATCCTAACGCATACCGTTCCCCGACAGCAGACCGTCAAGGCGCAGTATTACTGTTTATTTTTGGAGCAAAACCTGCAACCAGCTTTGAGAAAGAAGTGGCGACACTTTCTGCAGAACTCACCCATCATTTTGCAGGACAGTGCTTGGCCACATGCAGCGCAAGCTGTGGCTGATTTGTTTGATCGATGGGGCTGGGAAGTGCTGTACCATCCACCGTACTCCCCGGACTTAACCCTTGTGACTTTGACTTGATTCCTAAGATGAAGGAACCACTTTGTGGCCTTCGCTTCCGAGTTGTTCAGAGATTCTTCAGGCAGTAGAACGCTCCATTCGAACTATCAACACAACAGGCGCTGCTAAAGGTATCCAACGGCTTCTACATTGCTGGCAACGGGTTGTTCTCAATGCTGGTGACTACACTGAAGGACAGTAGAACTTCGAAACATGCATCTATTTTGTATCAGTTGTAAATAAATAGTTGCCACTGTTAAAGTTCCAAACCTCGTACATTTTACCTTTTACCTTTTTGCCTCAGTAATATCAGCAGGGTGGCCGTAATAGTTTTTGAGATGGGAGCTTTATTACTGTCATCAAATGTAGTCTCACGTAATTTTGTGTTGTAATAGATCTTAAAACTATGACAGTTTTGTTTCTCAGTGTTTTATTTATTTTTTGGAGCCTGTAAGCAATGATATGACAGTCGCACAAGAATACCGTTCGGATTTGCGTTTGACAGTGAAGACTGATTGACCAATGGAGCAAGACAGGTAAGAATTCTTATGGAGATAGATCACTAACATTCCTTCAAGCCATTTTTATGTAATAACTAGCGTAACATCTGCTGATAATTATCAGAAGTCCCATCATATATCATATAAGCCTTCATGCTATTTTTTTTTCCTTGGCACTACAGCCTCAGTGGGCCTAGGCCTACCTCCATGAACTTCTCCTTTCACTTCGGTTTTTCTAGATCTCACACATATGGCAGGACTCCTTGGGCGGGTGATCAGGTAGTCGAAAGGCCTCTATCTGTACACAAACACAGAAAAACACATACACACCAAACATCCATGCCCTGAGTGGGATTCGAACCCACGATCCCGGTTTCCAAGCGAGCGAAGACCGCTTGGAGCCTTAGACCGCTAGGCTACCGTGACCGGCCCTCATGCTATTAACATAACCTAATTTTTCTCGTATTTCTCTCCACTACATGAAACAAAACACTGCTGGTTCGTCCGTGAGGTCCGTACTACATAATATTTACCGAAATCAGTAACTACGTAGAGTAATTGGTATAATTATGGATTTAAATTTTTGATGCTCTGGGCATATAGAATGAAACATTCTGAGGGAAAGTAAGAGCGATAAGTTCTTCTCTGTTGTTCTATGTTCATTAGCACCCACTTCACGCTCTGTCGTGTGAGATTAATACCAAATATAGACACAAAGGGCGTTAGACTTAATTTATGAAATTAAATTTCAGCAAGTTTACAACCATCAGATTTTCAGCCGCTTCTACACTAGATGTAAAAGTAAAGTAAAAAAATAAAGGTATCCCTGTAACAGGCCGTGGAGGCCCATAGAGTTGTGAGATGTTGAGGTTCCCACATTTTCTAGACAGTCGGCTCATAGATGGCGGTAAGGTTGTCAGCCTTACGCGCCGGCCGCCCTTTACCGCCAAGAACATTCCAAGAATATACCTGGTACTCATTTCTGTTAGAGGCTGAGTCAACCCAAGGGCCATAGCGCGGCTGGAAGGATTAGGTAAATTGAAAACACTCAATTGCCTAATCGGGATTCGATCCCACGACTTTCAGGCTTGTAGCATAGTGCCTCAACCACCTACGCTACCGCAGTGCCCCTTCACACTAGATGATCATCTCAAAACGAGGAAACATGATTATTTCGCAAAAGTTTCGTCTTCTTCCGTCACAAGTCCTCTTAAGCGGCACTGAACATGAAAGCAAATGTAGAGGATCAGGCCCGCTGAACTCTAACCAAAAGGGAATATTCTATAACTGTAGAAATGTCTGTATGCGCACAGAACGCAGACTAGTGAGATCAGCTTTCTGATGTGTTTGTTATTGTTAGTAGCATGTAAGCAAAACACTTAAGCACAGTTTAGAACGAAGTGCAGATAGGCAAAAGGATGTTTCAATAAGAATCGAGTCAGCGTTTCCATTAACCCATGCCATTCCCTTTATTTCATATGGAAACATGAAGTTTGATTCTGCGTGTTTTATTTAAGCACCCATTTTCAACCCAACCCAACTACTGCATAAACTTTGAATTTTTAATTAAAGTTGAGTACACGGAGCCTACATTATTGACATAAACTGAGAATATGATTTCGCATTCTTTGCATTGTACTCTAGTAAAGGTAAAGATATCCCTGTGCTTAACTAATTAAGCACTACGCCATGAAGGCGTATGGGGGAATGGATGTATAGATTCACATTTTCTTGACCTCGGCATTTTTTGGAGGTACGTGATCAGCTTCAAGCTCCTGACGCTTTAAACCCGGACAAAAAGCCCTCGGTACCCACTGGGTAGGAGGTTGAGTGGGCCCCAGAGCCGGTATGGACGACTGCAAAAAAGAAACTCCTTGAGCCTACCGGGACTCGAACTCCGACCCTTCTGTCGTCGAGCCCGTAGCCAGTCTCTATACCGACTACGCTATCGTGCCATCAAGGTTTATATAATGTGTTTGTGTCGGCAACAAAATAAAATCGAAGCCAGTAAAATGTGAAAATAACAAATAACGAGGCTTATTTGGGTAGTATGTTACATACAGTCGAGGAATTTGAGTTTAGTTTGAAGGATTAAAACTACTTGGCATTATTTAGGACCAAATGCTAGTGCACGGACTTATAAAGAAGAGAGTGGAGGAGAATTTCCCTGGTGACCTGGAATATATCATGAGGGACCCCCTACTCTTTGGAGACTACAGGAACGCTATGAACGGAGGCGAACCACGAATCTACGAAGACCTTCTGGATTATGATGCAATTTACTACCTTTTCCAAGAGGTAGGTCCTTTGGGTGAAATATCACATTAATACCTTGCAGTTATGGTGGACGAGTGATCAGCCCGTCGCAAGGCCTCTACCTAAAAACAGGACATCACAGACACAGAATAAATACATATACATGTACCAAAAATCCATGCATTTTGTGGGATTCAAACCCACGATTTCGGTTTCCGAGCGAGCGATGACAGTATATGCCGTAGATCGCTCGGTTACCTTGAGCGGCACGACTATGTAATATATATTATTCCGTATTAAGTCCAAGTACGTTCCCTACATAAAGGGAACGTGCCCAATTCGTAAAGTTGTCAGGATTCTCTTATCTCATTCTGCTTCGCCTCAGATTCTGGAGGAGTACAACGAGAAGCACAACAGGCTTCATCTGGTGCTCTTTGATGATGCTCTTGAGCACCTCACCAGAGTACACCGAGTGCTGCGTATGCATAAGGGTCACGTGATGGTCGTGGGTGTCGGGGGTAGCGGGAAGCAGAGCCTGTTGCGCCTGGCCGCATTCGCTGCAGGTAAGGAGCGAGCCGTATCGAAATCTTCAACAAGCGGTTGTAAACCTTACGGTCACTGTGCTCTCAAGGACAAACCCAGCACGGCTGAATCTCTGTTTTCGTACCAGGTCTGACCGTAAATTGAAAAATACTACAAGGGGTATCAATTTTAATACATGAGATTATAAAGGCCGTAATCCGGTATTTCGTTGTTGCTGTGCCTCAATCTTTGGTTCCTTTCCTTTTTATTTTGAATTTGGACTGGTAAAATATTTACTGAGTGTGTTTGAGAACAGGGTGTTGAGGAGAATATTTGGACAAAAGGGGGGTGAAGTGACAGGAGGTTGGAGAAAACTGCATAATGAGGAGCTTCATAACTTGTACTCTTCTTCAAGTATAATTAGAATGATCGAGTGAATGAGGATGAGATGGACAGGAATGTAGTACGGATGGGGCGAAGAAGAATGCATATAGATTATTGGTGGGAAAGTCAGAAGCAAAGAGACCACGAGGCAGACCAAGATGTAGGTGGGTGGATAATGTTAAAATAGATCTTAGATAGGATTGGATTGTATGGACTGGATTGATCTGGCTCAGGATAAGGACCAGTGGAGAGCTCTTGTGAACACAGTAATGAACCTTCGGGTTCCGTGAAATGGTGGAAAGTTCTTGAGTAGCTGCGTGACTGGAGGCTTCTCAAGAAGGGCTCAGCTCCATGAAGTTAGTTAATTTTTTATTATGGGTTTTTACGAATACTTCTTGACACTCAGTAAAACTGTGTTGAAATTAATTGTTTTGTTTTCTTATTTTTATTAAAATATTTACATAAACATTGTTGCTGACGGTCCTTCCCTTTCCATTATCTTGCCATGATTATTGTGTATTGATGATTATTGAGGGAAACGTCGTGTTTCAGGCTGTGAAGTGTTCCAGATAACTATGAACAGGGGATATACTGAGGCGAACTTCAAGGAAGACTTAAAGAAGTTATATAACTTGATTGGAGTTGCCAACAAGCCGACAGTATTCCTCTTCACAACTTCCCAGGTCGCGGATGAAGGCAAGTCTTGTCCAGACTGAACTGAGTGCACTGCGGTTTGCGGTTAAATTGTTAAGAATCTGGAGTTTAACGGCTGTTCAGTATAAGCCCAGGCTGGCTATGTTTAACAATTTTGGGGTATGTTAATTGATATTATGAATGCAATTGAGTTAAGTTAGCTTATGTTGAAGGTGTTATGGTTAGATAAGTCTAGAGCTAAGTAGATGAAGTTATGAGGAATCGTGAATTCGGGCTATCCTGAGATTTTTTGTCATCGTCCTTAGTTTGTCGGTTATCTTTTTTTAATCTTCTGGTTGCGAAAAGGCGACGCATGTTTTATGGATAAGTTCTGTTCAGTGTGCACAATATCACAGCCTGGAAATGGACCGTCAATAGACGGTTTGTTGATTTTTTGCATTTACCTGTACACATAGCCGGTCACGGTAGCCGAGCGGTCTAAGGCATGCACTGTCTTCGCTCGCTCGGAAGCCGGGATCGTGGGTTCGATTCCCACTCAAGGCATGGATTTTTGCGTGCGTTTTTCTGTGTTTATGTACAGGTAGAGGCCTTGCGACGAGCTGATCACCCACCCAAGGAGTCCTACCGAATGTGTAAGATCTAGAAAAACCGAAGTGAACGGAGTTCATGGAGGTAGGCCTAGGCCGACTGGGGCTGTAGTGCCAAGGGGAAAAAGAAATCCTGCACACATCAGACCGACACTGGAGCATCATATAAGCTGAATTCCATAATATTCCTTCACATTTTTCTGTGAATCCCTTGATAGCCGTAAGTGTTAATCAATATTGTTATTGTCACGTGTCACAGTGACTAAGACGCGGGTTTGGATTGGTAATTGGATTAATTAACAACTTACAGGTCCTAACTACATTTAATTGTGTTATTATTGCTGCTTTACACAATTTACAATCACTTCACACTAATTTTCTCAGTCTATCTGCACTAGTCTTCACTATTCGTTTCCTGGTAACGGATTTATAACGCAGGAACTATAAAAATCTCACTAAATTTCACACTCCAAATCCCACTGCACTACAGCACACATAAGTCTTCAAAGCACAACCCAAGTCTTCACAGGCCGACAAAATTCCCGTGGCTATCTTCGACCGAGGACTCAGAACTCAGAAATGAACCGTAGCGCCGTTCGTTTTTGACGCAACTCCTTTTCACAGACCCCACGGAAAACACAATCTTCCATTGTTGAAATGTGTTTATCGAAGCATTACACAACAATGGTCGTGGCGCGGACCCCATAGAATACAATCTCTCTATTGTTGAGGTTTGTTTACCGGGCCGTTGCTTAGCAACGCTCTGGCCATCCATGTTACAATATTTTGTCTCTCCGATGATGTTTCCCCTCCTGTCGATGATGATACGTACAGTGTGAACAGGCCTTTATACAGAAATTCACTGAAGAAAGTCACAGCAGTTAATAATTATTGTTATACTCGTACACGCATTAAAACCTTTCTAATTTTATGTTCTTAATTACCGTGCGGAGCTGGATGTTCGGGCCGATTGATCTGGCTTGCAGGCCGATTTACTGCCGTTAATACCTGTTGGTCTGTTTTTCAGGATTTCTGGATCCAATCAACAACATGCTCCTGAATGGAATGGTTCCTGCGTTGTTCACTGATGACGAAAAGGAAGAAATCTGTGCATCTATTCGAAATACTTCAAAGGACGCGGGTTTTGGAGTTACAAGGTGAATACAGCGTTGCATCTTTCATTTACAGTGGGCCATCTTCATTTAGAGTGGCTAATCTAATAACAGAATGTTCTCCATTCTTCTTTATTTTCTTTCCTGATCTGTCATAGTCTGTTTCCAGTTTCCCTTTCTCTCTTTTCTTTATGCTCTCTGGTTTATCCACTTACTCCTCGGTCGCATAAATTGTAAATATTTTATTCACTATCTTCAACCATTTATGTGCAAAGGAATTAATGTATGACACGTGGCAACATCAGTACGTCATCCTAAACCCTTCAAGTCCAGTCCGTCTCTATCGATTGGGCCCAACTGAGTAGGTTTTACCTGAAGACGGAGGTAGAATCCAGTCTCCGAAACGTTGTGTTTTGAAAAATGTACGTGACGGTTTTTAGATAAAACAAGACGACGGATAATGTCCAAAAACATAATATTTGTACTACTGTACCATCGTAACAAATTTTTAGATCTTATTTAAGTTTCACGTTAATTCAAGACAATATGTAAAACTGTAGCTTATGTACTTTTTAAGCTCTAGACAAAGTCTTCATTGAAACTCAATTCTCTGAACTTTATCCAGTTCGATGTACCTGCCGTTTCTTGCAGGGAGGCAGTGTGGCGGTTCTTCACAACAGTCTGCAACAACAACCTGCATGTAGGACTGTGCACAGCGCCTTCTGCAGACATTCTCCGCAACCGCTGCCGCGAGTTCCCGGCTCTCTTCAACAACACGAGTATTGACTGGTTCTTTCCCTGGCCTCAGCAGGCGCTTTTGGCCGTTGCTAGCGTCTTCTTGGCCGAGGTAATAAACTTCTGCTTAGAGTCCGCAATTCATAACATTGATATTTAGGCACGGAGGCAACATTGTGTTGCTATAGCCTACTGTGACAGTAATATATGCGACAGCCCAATAATAACATTGTTTCACCTTCTTAGGTTTAGAGTACTCTTACATATAGTCGATATTTTGTATGTCTTATGGTATGATATATGTAATTGTGGCCCCCCGCAATACGACTGTTTTTTATGTGGTTTGTCGCTGCTGGCATGATGTTCGTACCAAAATTACATAAAAATCCGTTGTACAAGAACATATATCATACCATAAGAAGTACAAAATATCGACTATATGTAAGAGTACTCTAAACCTAAGAAGGAGAAATTCAATGCTGTCATTAGACTGATACATATATTTCTGTAACAGTAAAAGAAATAAAGAAGTAAAGTTGTCCTTGTGCTTAACAAATTAAGCACTACGCCATGAAAGCGTATAGGGGAGTGAATGTATAAATCCACATTTTCTTGACCTCGGCACTAGCTGGAGGTGACTGATCAGCTTCACGTCCCGGTCGCTTTACCCCCGGGGAAAGAGCCCCTGATATGTAATAACAATCTTTTGGAAGGCGGCACTATGTAATTGTCTAAAATGTTAAAAAATATTTCGGAGGGAAATTTTACCCCTGTTTTCAGGACCTGGAGAAAATAAAACACCTTCCTCTGACTTGTCGATATCTACGTATAACACTACAAGCTCTCGCAACCCAAGGGACTGCCATCTGAATAGTTGCCACCTTGAGATCCTGAAAATTTATTTTTTGTAGACCCTGCTGTTGGTAGGAAACTCGAATTGTGTTAGTTTCTTATTGCAAGCAACCGTACCATTTGTTCCTTCATGAATATATGATTAGTCAACAGATTTCTTGTTTGATCCCTATTCATTACTTATTTCAGAATCCAAGAATCCCGGAACCTTTCCGGAAGACGATTGTGGAGCATGTCGCCCATGTTCACAGCAGTGCTGATGCATACACACGGGGGTTTCTTGTGAAGCTGCGGAGAAGGAATTATGTGACGCCCAAACACTACCTGGACTTCATCAACACGTACTTGAAACTTCTGGACGAGAAGAACATTTTCATAAAAGCCCAGGTTAGGGAAGAAAGTTTGCGATTTAAGAGGGCGTAGTTACAAATGTACTTACATAAGTGCAGCCCTGTTACCAGCCTTGGTATACAAACAGTTCGATCGTGCATATGAAACATTCGTCGTTTTCGGCGACTCCTTACGTGGAAATTTACCTGATTAAAATAACAAAACTGACAACAGTTACCTAGGTACAAATTCGGAGATAAATTGCCTATGAGAAAAAACGCCACAAATTTATCGGCACTCGAATAGTGTGAAGAAGTTTACTTCAGACAATTGTAGAAATATTTTCTTGTACTTCCTCATACTCACACACTTGAATATGCTTGTTCTGAAGCATCACTAACAACGAGAAGAACAGGGTCAGCGTTCAAGTTATTTCATTAAAGCTGTATTATACGTGTATCATAGTTTGAGAGTTTTTCTGTTATTGTTCATACTACTTGGTCACTTGATTTACGCCCAGAGTTCTATTTCCGGCGTGGACAGGAATTGTCATCTTAGCTACCGCACCTACATCGGCACTAGGGCCCATCTGTCTCCCTATCCAATTTTACCTATACATTTCATCTGAAACACATTCTTGTGTTGTTTATTTCAAGCTATATGTAGGACGCCTTAATTATTGTCTGCATAGATCATTGTGTACTGGCTGCGGTACCAAAAGACTTTTAGCGTTTCGTCTAAAGAAATTAGCAGTGTCATGAGTATGGAACGAAAGGATTACAATCGAAATTTGGGACAATAACCTGTTCGTATCTCCGAAATTCTAAGCTTCATAGAGCAAAGGGCGTGTCATTCCCAGTCTTCAGTCACAGCCAGGTTTTTTCCACTGCGATGAAGTGTACTGTGTGTTGAAATGTTTCGTATTACTAGCAGTTAAATAACAGTTATAGGTTTATATGAAATTTGCGTTGCAGTGTGAGCGGCTGAGAGGCGGGATGAATACAATCTTGGAAGCTTCCGAAAAGTTGAAAGAGCTTAACGCCAAACTGGAAATAAAGAAAATATCAGTGGCTGAGAAAACTGCTGCATGCGAACAATTGTTTGCGGAAATCGAAGAAGGTAAGTCTCGTTCATGATATGTATGTATTGGCCGTCTTCTAGTGCACTCAATCTCACATGTCACTTCACTACATGTTTCGGCATCACTGTGCCATCCTCAGGTGTGTTATTTACGTTAAGCTATTGCACTGTTCGCCATGTGTCGTTTATAAAATTATTTAAAATGTATATTCTTCATTTACTATAATAAAATTTATATATATTAAAATTTGTTACAACGCACGCAGCCAAAAAAGGACACATCACAAGACACAGTATACATAAAATATAGGAAGAACGACTCCCATAATGGAAGAATGATAGAGTACGCGAGTTTGAATTAAGACGTATAAAATGATAAATCTTAACAAATTTTTATATATTGTAGCGTATCGGGCGTATATCGCGACAAATAACTTCACGATGTAATTGATATAGCGAATTTTATTTCACATTCGCACTTACAACCACCCAAATTACAGATTTACGGTTACTGCTATCTGCAGTATCACAA